ATGACGGGGATTCGAACCCACGACCCGCAGATTGCGAGTCGAGTGCCCCTAACCACCTGGAAGTATAATGGTCTTTGTAAATAATGAGTAAGTGTACAAGAAGTAATCACAGAAGTCATGCAGCTGAAGTAATAAGTTTATATTGTACGTATAATAACAGATTCAATATTGGAGCAGTTTATAGATCACAACTATAGTACATAAACCCATAACACACAACTTAAGAATGTTTAATTTAAAATTAAATGAAACATATATATATATATATTGCAGGAGACACAAATATAACCTCTGAAGATGATTTTATAAAATAATACATAAATATGTTAACTTGCTTTTGGGTTTTATTTTTGCATACATTTTACTACTAGAAAATAGTTAAATTTATATCTTGATCATATTTTTAGAACAGGCAAATTCGACTCAATACAAACAACAGTTAGTAAAACTGGAATATAGATCATTTTAATACTTTAAAACTATTCTAAAATAGTAGTGTTCATATTGAATATGAAACAATAATAGTGAAATATGTAAAAACAAAAAGAGGACAAAAACTGAAACAAATGGATTACCAAAGTATTTTCAACATATACATGAAATTTACACAAAGAATACCAACCCATAATAAATTAGTTTAACTTACAAAGACTAGAAATTATCTAATTATAAAAAAAAAGATTACTATAAGAAAAAATAATTGGCAGTAAAACTAATATAAAAAACAATGAAATTCAAGTGATGAAATTACTGGGGGAAAATCTTAAAATTTAAAAGTATTTCAGTATGTAATGGGATTGGTTTGAATTTCGCGCAAAGCTACAGGAGGGCTATTTGCGCTAGTCGTCCCTAACTTAGCAGTGAAAGACTAGAGGAAATGCAGCTAGTCATCACCACCTACCGCCAACTCTTGACCTACTCTTTTATCAACGAATAGTTGGATTGACCGACACATTATAACGCCCCCACGGCTGAAAGGGCGGGCATGTTTGGTGTGACGGGGATTCGAACCCACGACCCGCAGATTGCGTGTCGAGCGCCCTAACCACCTGGTCTTGTATTGAATTTATTGAACGGCCTGAATTATATATAAATCACTGTAGAATATTTGTAATTACAAAATCATAAAATACAAATTTCATTCTATAACCAACTGATGGTGGATATGAAATTACGAAAATTATGGATTTCTCTAAAAAATAGAAAAGCTATAGGAAAAGGTAAAATTACTTCCGAAATGTTAAAACATAATATTGATAAATTAACACTGATAATAACATCTTTGGTTAAAATGTCAATGGAAAAGGAAATATTTCCCAGACATTTTAAAATATGCTTTCATTACACCAAAAAGTAAAAGAGGTAGTGAAAGTGACTTAAATAACACAGGCCTGCGAATTTAAACTTCATAAAAGTTGTTTAACAACTGCTTTTTCCATAATGCAGCTACGCTGATTTCGAAAATAACATTCATTTTTTTCTATCACTTAAGAATTTTTTACAAATCGGAGGAAAAACTTGTTCACTTAGATCAAATTATTATTTCGTTTACCATAATAAAAATATTTTATTATTATGTTTGTTAATAAAAATACAAACAAACTTAAGAAAAGGGAAGAACATTGATGTCAAATACGCATCCTCATTCATCCTGATTTTATTTTGTGAACTCTACGTTTTTTAGTCCCAAAACTAAGCTTTGTGGTGTTTCTTTTATGTATTGCTTCGGTTTGTTTGTAATTAAGCACAAAGCTATAAAATGGGCTATCTGTGCTCTGCCCACCATGGGTATCGAAACCGGGATTCTAGCGTTGTAAGTCCACAGACATACCGCTGTGCCACTGGGGGGCGTATTGCTTCTGGAGCATCTCGTTTCAATGACCAGCAGTAATCAGCCATCATGCTGATTTTCCATCATCCCTGATACCTCTTCTCCATTTCTCTGATGTCTTGATGAAACCTTTCCCCTTGTTCTTCGCTGACGACACCAAGATTTTCAGGGAAATAGTCAATATGCGAGTGTAAGAAATGAACTTTCAAGCTCATATTACAACCCAAATATTTGAATTTATCGAGCATGTTATTGACAATATTTTCGTAATTTGGATCCTTGTTGTTTCATAAAAATTTGTCAATAACACCATTAAAGGCAATTCACCTTTCTTTTTCAATTTTCTTCATTGTCCTTTCGAACTGTTCATCCGAAGTCAATTTCCTAATCTGAGGCCCAACAAAAATCCCTTCTTTAAGTTTCGCTTCTCAAGGAGCTGGGAATTGCTCACAAAGATACTTGAAACAGTCGCCACCTTTGTTTAAGTAAGGTCTTTACAAACTGCTTCATCAAGCTCAGTTTTATATGAAGGGGGGGAAATAGGACTTTCTTTGTGTCAGCCAAACTTTCACGTTCAATGTTTTTCGATCCTGGTATCAGGCTGACTCTGCGTGGCCATTGCTTCTTTATACAACACATTTACAACAAATGAATATGTTTGAGTTATTTACACAATCTATTGTTGCCGTAACGACGAATAAATAATATTGGAAATATACGTACATACAAATACTATCCAGAAATGACACGTTTATATACTAGCGGTGTGTTTCTCGTGGATTTATGAACGATCGATAATACTCTCACGTCGCGATTAGTCTAGAGAAATCTATAGCCAGTGGTTAATGAAAATTTTCAATGAAAATGATTTCATTAAAAATGATTCACTTATGTAAAAATGCATATGACGTTTTGTGAAAAAATCTGTACGTGATGAACAAAAGGAATATCATTTTCGGATTCAGCATACAGAGATTACTGTAAAACATGTAAAAATTTCAAAACAATAAAGCCATCGCAGTCCTGTGTAATTACAGACCGGTTGCTTTATCATCAGTTCTATCAAAAAGTGTAAAATGTATTTAAAGAAATTATTATAAAATGTTTAGATTCAATAAAGTTTTTCTCAAATTATCAAGTCAAGTATAGGAAAATATTAATAGAGAGGATACACTAAATAATATGACTAATAAGTTAAATCATTTTATCGATGATCATAACGAATGTTTTTTCTTGGATATCAAAATATTTGATACAATCTCACAACAGCTTTTATTTACACATCTATAAAAATGGAATAAGAGGTATTATTTTAACTTGGTTTAAATCATATATATATTAAACGTAAAACAAGCAGTTAAAATTAATAAATTCATAAACAAAAAATGAAATGGAAATTACTTCTGGAGTACCCCAGGGATTACTTTTGTGCAAATTATTGTTTCTGTGAAATTATGTATAATGGGGAAATAACTAGTTTTGGAGGTAATTCATTATTAATGTATAATGGAAATTTTGATAATGAAGTTATCAAAAATAGTCATTTGAATATACATATAAAGAAGTGGTTTAACGAAAATATATTTTAAATGCTAAGAAAATACTTTATATGAGGTTTTCTTTAAAATATTGAAACAAATTATTTAAAATAATCAAATATATTATAAAACTACATATGTAAGTTATAGATTGTCAAAATATTACAAAAATCAATTATGTTTTACAAACATATTTTTTTAAGTACCTTGGAGTAATAATAGATTATATATTTAATGAGAAAAGGAAATAAAAGTAATGGAAAAACATTTTAAAATATTATAGTAAAATCTTAATAAAATTTCTATCTCATAATCAAAGGAAAAATATTTATTGTGTCTGGTTTGGTTCTATCCTACAGTATAGTATAACCTGCTGGGAAGGTATTTACTTAACAAAGTTAAGATTTATAATATAGTTACAAAAACGTAATTTAAATGTACTACCATTACATAATTTATCTAATATATAAAGCTAAGTTTGTGTTTGTTTGTTCGCACCTTTTAGCCATCTGTTCCTTATACGTTTCCAAGTTTCTTGTTCAATCAGCATCAAACTTGACACAGTGATATAGTGTAACATGAGAAAGGTCATGAAGGGGATTGAAATCCCCCCATCTTCTATATAAATAAACGTCAATACGTGTATGTATCTGTTCCTTATATGTTTCCACATTTCATAATCGATCAGCACCTAACTTGACACAGTGATACAGGATGCCATGAGGAAGGTCATGAGGGGTGGGGGTGGGGGGGTTGGACCCCCATCTAATTTCCTATTGATAGAATTCTTGGAACAGTATGGGTACTCCAGCTAGTATACTTATAAAACACTAAATAAACATAACAAAAATACATATAATTGGTAAAATATATCAATATGAGGAACAAGAACTGAAGGTCTGTAGAATTTACAAATTTGTAATGTAAAAAAGGAAACAATTAGAAAAAGTCGTTTGCACCTAGCGACAAAATTTCATAATAATAGTCCAAATAAAATAAGATCATTGGTAATATATATTTATATATTAATTCGACTTGAAGACATGGATAACTAATACTGATTAACTTCAAATCTTTTTATAGTATACGTGAATTTAAAATAAAACATCATGAATATCTAAAATTCAAAATAAAGTCTTATGAATATTCAAAATACTGTAAAATGAATATCTTAGAAGTACCTAAATATGTATATTCAGTATTTATTTATGGATTATTATCATTATATTAGTTTGGTTTTGTTAGCTTAACTTTATGAAGAAAATGTGGCCCATAGTTGAGTAAATCTTATATATCATAATGTGTATTGTAATTTTTTGTTATAATATTCAACAAGATTTTTTAAAATTAAAATATAACAAATTATTACGTTCGTATTATTATATATTATTACGTTCTTATAATGATTCGAATATATTGTTTCATGAGTTAAGAACCTTCGCTCTTAGCGATGTTTTCAGCCATAATCCCATTAATGTATCATGAGTCTTAAATCCATATACTAAGCTAACAAGCAAAATAATCCTTACAATGAAAAGATATAATAATAATATCAAACATTATGTATTAAACACCATAATGAATACTGTTAGAGAAAGTAATGTTATATATATATATATAATAAAGTATAATTTAATTACAGAACATATATAAACAATAGTGGTTAAATATTTCTTTGTAAATTCCACTTTCACATTAATTTAATATGAACTGTCTAGGTGTTTTTTTCTCTTCAACATATTTACAGTCGTTCTTTTTAAGGCTTTGTTAGATCATGTTCATAGTCATATTTCTTAAAGAGTTTCCGGTTACTGGTTCACTGCAGTACGTGTAAGGATTCTCTAGTATTATTAATACATGCGATCCTCGTTACCATATTGAAATAATTTAAAAAAATTAGTTTATTATAATGGAAAACAAAAAGGTAGGTGTTTTTGTATAAACCATGTTTATTCTCCTGAGAAAAACAAAACAACTGTAGATGCAATGTTTTATTTTATTTCAGATAAATCTCTACAAATCCTTTCCTCAAGACAACCATGTGGATAGTACAGCCATGAAAACTTTCAGCACAACAGTTGGGATCCTGGCCACAGCTGCAGCCATTTTGTACACTTTTTTGTCTTAAATCGATACGAGTGTAGCACCTTCTCTCACTTAGTGTCGCTGTCAAATTTATCTTCTTCGAAGTTAGGCAAATCTTTCAAAGCAAAATGTTCTCATTTTATTAGCTGGAAAAAAGTAATTTACATATTTATTCTTCCACCAGTTAAAATTAAAATTTTCGTTATGTTCGTAAAGTTCAATTTATACTTGAACATGTCACTTGGACCAATAGATCTTCTGTATGTCACGAAGCAGTTACCTGACGTTCTCATTTTGCTGTTCGAATAATTAAAACTAGGCACACTCTAATTTCAAATTGAGTGAAACAAAATGTTTAAAAACCTAAATTTATACATTTCAATGACATTTGTCTACTTCGTCAGCGACTTGCATAGAGTGGTGGCTCCAGAACTTAAAGAACAGACATTAGTATGAAATTATGTGTCAGTTTTGTTCGTCATTCAAATTAATAATTAACTTCTAAAACATTTTCAAATATAATGTCTTATTTCTCTCTCTTAACGTTATCTGAAAGACTTATTATCTCTTTCTCTCTTTGAACCCAGTGGCTCAGTATAAAGTCTAATGGCTAATAACGCTGAAAGCCATAAAGTCGTGTTAGAACAATAGATGTAGTCTTCATACTTCGAGTTATTTATGTCTTTAAGAACATAACCTAAACTCCTAATATTTAAAATATCCTTGGAATGTACATCTGGTAAGTGTTCAAACGCAAAACCGAACATCTAATCTAATTGTGCAATGTACATCTGATAACTGCCTTTGTATGAAAACATAATTTTAGCACCTAAAACCTAATATAATATTGAAATATACGTTTAACCAAATGCCTAACTCAAACAACTAACATTTAACATTGACACAAATACCCTGAATATAAAACACGTGAACGAGATTTAGCTTCGAACAATATTAAACATAATATTTGTACTACGCTGTTTTAACACAACACATTTTAGCAGAAAATTTGATGTGCACTATTACTTACAGATAGATGCAAGCTAAGTTAAAAGTGTTCTACAGATACTTCTTAGGTTGAAAACAGAGATAATACGTTTATTTAAAATAGGAAAAGCTGAAATTATCAGCTGATTAGAGGGGTCTTTGAGAGAAAAGTACATCTAAGCTAAAACCTAACGTATGCATCTCTACTGTCTGACTTGCGTGGGGTTTTAGTTATTTCTCGTGAAGGTTATATGAGTAAAACAACACGAAACATGTTTGAAAACTGCCATTATTATAATCTTCACACCACCACTTTCAATTGGTTCTAGTGAAAAGCTGGATAAAAAAAGGTATCAGTATTGATGAATTTATACTGAATTCTTTTTTTTTTTGGTTGAACTTATTTTGAGCCACACATTTCTAGATATAAGCTATTTTGATACCAACATTTTTTCAATTAATTTTTATTATGGAAGAAAGGAGCGATTCTATTTTCTCTTAAGCTAGAGAAAAATTTGAAATTCTGCTTCGTTTTTTTTCTCATTTATTTATATTGTAGAAATTTGAAATTGTGCTTCTTTTTTTCTGATTTTTATTACAAAAATATATAGTTATTTTTGCTTTTTTATCTCATATACTTTTAATTTAACAATTTTCAGTTCTGCTTTTAATTTTTCTATTTATTTTATTGTCAAATCTGAAGTTACTGTTTTATTTTTATTGCGAAAATTTGAGGTTTTTAACAAATTACAATATATTTTTGCTTTATGGATGAAATTATTAGTGCAAACTTTGCATTAATTGTGGTTCCAGATCCAATGAAAATATCTGAGATTTTGTCTATTTAGTAAAAAGATATAGCAAGGAAAAACACTAATGTAACTTTTCTTTCGGAATATTTTGTATTAATAATTAAAATGAAGATCATAGTCTAGTTTCAAACATCGATAATTCTTTCATGTAAACCACGGTGTAACTTGGAAATAAAGCTTAGATTCAAACATAGGTAATTCTTTCATGTAAACCACGGTGTAACTTGGAAATAAAGCTTAATTTCATACATAGATAATTCTTTCATGTAAACCACGGTGTAACTTGGAAATAAAGCTTAGTTTCAAACATAGGTAATTCTTTCATGTAAACCACGGTGTAACTTGGAAATAAAGCTTAGTTTCAAACATAGGTAATTCTTTCATGTAAACCATGGTGTAAGTTGGAAATAAAGCTTAGTTTCAAACATAGATAATTCTTTCCTGTAAACCACGGTGTAACTTGGAAATAAAGCTCTTCGTGAATCCATAAAACAAATTTGATTTTAAAAAATTTCTCTTCCAAAAACGGTAGGTGACAACAATAATTTATTATTTTGTCGCAATAAAAAAAATATGTTATATAGATATAGTTCAACAACATTAGATATAATTCTTCCCTAAGTATTTGTATCTGGGTTTGTTGGTGTTATTGTAATTCTGTATCATCTGTGTTATTCACATTTCGTGTACAACGCAAATTAATCCTTTCTTTCAAGTCAAAAACATTTATTAATTATATTTCTTCACATTTATCTTTCTTAGATATGAATTATTTTGGTTTTCAGTGTGCATTTCCCATAACACATGTTTTCCCTTCTTGGGTCAAAACGAAACGTTATTTCATTTATATATAGTACGAAAGCTATGTTACTTTTGCAATCCATAAACTGATGAAACAGACTTTTCATACAGAACTATATACTGCTGCTGTAAACACTTTTATAAATTTGGAGAAAACGTACCTTTAATATGAAACGAATGCGTTAGATGTTTATTCTTAATCAAATATACCAAATCGCTAACAAAATAATTGTTTCTATTTTTGCCTCATCTATGTCGTAAAAATTGAAAATTAGGCTTTAATACAAATTGTGAGGTAGGAGAGGAGTTTATCTAAAATATCAAACGTCTTGGTAGCTAATGCACCGTTTATCATCGATATTGCTTATTTCATAGGGTTCATGGTTCGCTTTCTGTTGTTGCAAAAACAGATTCCTTATTATTATTATTTTTTGGTTATGTATGCTGTATAAGAGTGACTAAAATTTCACTATTTGGTCTTTCATCTACTGACTAAAATCTCACTATTTAGTCTTCCATCTAAGTGACTAAAATCTCACTATTTGGTCTTCCATCTACTGACTAAAATCTCAATATTTGGTCTTCCATCTACTGACTAAAATCTCACTATTTAGTCTTCCATCTAGTGACTAAAATCACACTATTTGGTCTTCCACCTAGTGACTAAAATCACACTATTTAGTCTTCCATCTAGTGACTAAAGTTCAAATTAGGAACGGTTAAATGCAGACAGCCATTTTTTAGCTTTGCATGAAAATTCTAAACAAATAAACAACTTGATTATATCTAGTATCTTTAAGTTTGGCTACATGATGCTAAAAACTGCATGGTTGTATTTCCTTAGTTATTTAATTATTAACTTTTAAAATAGAAAAGATAATTTTGGGCCACTCTGTATTTTGTATGAAAGGCTTTTACTCTCTTTCGAGCAGGATATTTAGCAAGCATGTTATAGTAGAATTTATTGATGAAAGAGTATGAAATGTTTCTTGAAATACCCTGCAGCATGTCACCCAATTCTAAAAGCTGCTTGGCTTGTTTGCCTCTTGACCGCCTCTTTATCTATGTAGGTGGAAATTTCCTGAATGATAGTCGGATCAGTACCAACTATATGTTTCTTTCTTTGTAGGTTTTTATATATATTGGTCATATGCTTGGGTTCAAATTCTAGATGTGTTCCTAATGAAATGAAATAGTGTATTGGAATCTGTATGTATTCTCAGCTGTAGGTATGTCATCATTTTTCACTTAGCCTCCAACACCACTGCAAAAGATTATACCCCCAAAGCTGTATAGATACATCAGATGCTTTTTTGTAAGTGTTGTATTTTGGTAAGGGTATTGTCCTCATTTTTTACTTTGATCATGTTGCTGTTATTTATTACTGTAAAAGTCAGACTTGGATTCATTGATAAACAACACCCTCTGTCAGACATGCTCATTCCACTATCCATTTCAGTCGTTTCTTTTTATTGCCTCTCCATAATAAAGGTTTCCAGTGAGCAACATCTTCATTGAGGTAACACTTCGCCAAACTATTTCTTATTGTTCATGGGACACCTACACTTGAGGATTCTTAATCTGGAAATTAGCTACTACATGGTTATTATTTCCTTCCTTAAGATCATGATGTCAGTAACACACATAGCGGATAAATGCTTGTATAGTCAGTAATTTGGTGTGGTGGTACCCGCTGATAGATTAGATGGCAACCAGTCACAGTGTATCACATCAACATCGTTGTTCTATTATATTGTCAGCAGCTGTATTGTACTGAAGGTGGCTGACACTAGCTGTATATATTTAGTACTGATTTTGATGTAATTTTCTACTTATTTCTACTACTGTGCATATATATGTGTGTGTGTGTGTATGATCTTGAAAACAACAGTAGCAAGTGTGAACATCAACATTTTAGCAATGTCTCATCATTGTTCTAAGTGTCTTTAGCATAAGAATTCCCTAGTTCGTAGTGTTTCATCTGTAACAGTTTAAACGATGCTTAGCAATAACTTCATTTTGAATAGTACTTAACCACTGAGCATTCATTACCGTACAAAAGTGGCTCGCTTTTGGTTGGCAAAGGTTTTATATTTTTTCATGACATAGACAAAATTTAGCACTAAATCTTTTATATGTGAAATTCAAAATGAAATTTTAAGAAAACATTTAAATATTAACTCAAATTGTTTTTAATAGATTATAATTTGATTTCCATATAATTTCGATCAGTTTCATAATTTTTGTATCTACAAATCTACCAAATTAATATAACTCTGTAATCTTTTAGAATAACAACGTTTATTGTTCGAGAAATAATATTTATAGAAAATTGTACAGTTAATCATGGTTACTCAACTTTTTACTAGAATTTCTTTACATTGAATTCTCTAGAACAACTGATTTTCTAAACTTTCTTACAGAACCCCAAAATAGACAAGGTTTATAAGAAAATTCCAGAAAAATGTCAGATTAAATAGTACAAAACATGAATATATGGTCATCATCCAAGAATACACTGGGTACGTAAGGCAGGTAATGGAAGAATACAACGTGTAATATATACAAGAACACTTTCTTTTGTCTTGAATACGGAAATATTTTTATTCATTTTGCTTTTTTATTATTATTTTGGACCATAACATGTGAACAACTGACAAAAAGACAACATTTTTGAACTTAAAAGCTATCAACAACTGTATTCAACTACACAGGTATAGAAAGGCACTCCAAAACAAACTACATACGTAACTCGAATATGCATATAAACAAACACGATATTTCAAATAAAATACATACGTACAGAAATATATATATATACATAAACATGTGTGTGTGTGTACAGTAGATTGTTAGAGATCTATGGTAACAACCTACATACCCAATTATCTTGTTCCTAGCTCCCCATCGCCCAGATGACTGTGATTACACATCTTACAATGCCATTGCAGTGTGTGTTGACTTGCAAGTGTAGATGGGTACCCACGATTGAACCCTTCTTGGAGATAAACATTACAATACTTTCCGACGCAACGCTCTCCTATTCTGCAATTATAAAAGCATGCAAGACACAACAGTTTTGAGTTTAAAAAGAAAGGAATATTTGTAGTACTGACCAATACTGGTCCAGCAAGGGAATGGGTGGCTCCAGAGGGGAGCACAAAAGCTACCTGTTGTATACCAGAGGTAGTGAAGATAGTTGAACAGTTTGTCACCACAAATAACCCAAGAACACAGCGGTTCATTACATCTAAACTAGTAATCTTCCTTGAACAGAAAACAGGATAATTCACACGGGTTTAGGTCTATATAAGTGATACAAAAGCTGTGTTCATAAGCTTCTTCCAAAGCACATAACTGAATGGAAGATCAATTACTGAAAGTTGTACAAGCAATATGTAGTATTTGATAAATGAAAGTATATAATTACATTGGACGAAGCATGTCTTTTTTAGAGTCTGGAAAAGTCAATTTTATTTATTATCATCCTACCAGTGCTACAGCACTTAAAAATGGTACATAGTATTTCACAAGAGTTTTTCCAAAGAGTTTGTGAAGCTACCGTGCTGACACTGTTCTCTCGTGAAGAAATGCCATTTTCATTTAGATTGGATATCAATAAAGCACGGCTACGTGAAAACATATCATCCATCCACACGTCTAAGCTAACATGCCAGTTCCTCTAGAAGAAACAAGTAAAGCTATACCATTTGAAGACATCTACCGTTGACTTCCGTGCTTTTGCACTGATCAAACTGATCCTCCAAAGTTTTCGTTCGCATTTAATGGATTTTCAAAAATATATTAAAAGGAGGAGGATAACATTGTATATCACACTAAAACCTCATCAGTGGTAGAAAAAGGGGTTGGTTATAAAGCCTAGGAACCTAATTTTTTATCGTTACCATGGATCACAAACACCCCTGTATATAACTTGTAGGTTTTAAGAAAATAATAATATTTCACTTCAATTACCAAAAGTAAGAAAATTTTGAAATACTAACTTCGACGAGAGATAGTAACATAATCATTCACGTAAAATTAGCACAAGTTATTGGGAAAACAGTTATATTCTGAAGCAGCTTCACATGTATTAATGTATGAAGTTTACCGCATTAACTTCTAGATTACGAATAATCATACCCGTTCTGGTTATCAAATACTGTAGTTCCAAATGATAGCGTTTTATTTACAAGTATATTTATCAATATATACACATAACACATTCCTCGGTCACTACTTAATACACTTCCTCAGTTAGATATATTATTGATTTTGACTGCTTTTAAATGTACTTTTAAGCAGTGCTTTTGAGATAAACTTCTTATTTTAAATCTATAGTACCATATAGAGAGACAGCGGTTGATATCTTGATATAAATAGTTTCAGTTCAAATTACTGCTGATTATTAAAATACCACAAATTTGAACTCCAGTTTGATGATTATATGCTATCATATAATCATATTATATGCTACCAACGGCATGTTAAGAAGTGGTAAAAAATGCCATCCAGATCTTCAGACTGATAAAGGATAACAAGATGCTACTACTTCCAATTAGCCTATGACATATTTAGCTTTATTTGTAAGCCACTCAGATTAAGGTCGCGTGGAGTGAAGATCTTCTCTTCTCTGAGGTTAAATTTATGTGAAACAGAAATTTATAGCTTTTTAGATTTTAAGATTATGTGTCGTGGAGACTTACACTTCCGTAGAACTGAAGGCCATGTGGAGTAGAGATTTATAGTTTTATAGAGGTAAAAGTCATGTGGAGTAGAGTTCTACACTTCGCTGGAGGTTAAGATTATGTGGAGTATATATATCCGCAGCTTTCTAGAGCTTAGGAGCGTGTAGAGTGGAGATCTACATTTCTCTGAAAGTTAAGGTCATGTGTAGTGGAGGTCTACACTTTCTTAGAGGTTAAGATTATGTGGAGTAGAGTTCTACACTTCGCTGGAGGTTAAGATTATGTGGAGTATATATCTGCAGCTTTCTAGAGCTTAGGGGCGTGTAGAATGGAGATCTACATTTCTCTGAAAGTTAAGGTCATGTGTAGTGGAGGTCTACACTTTCTTAGAGGTTAAGATTATGCGGAGTATATATCTGCAGCTTTCTAGAGCTTAGGGGCGTGTAGAATGGAGATCTACATTTCTCTGAAAGTTAAGGTCATGTGTAGTGGAGGTCTTCACTTCCTCAGAGGTTAAGATTATGAATAATAGAGATTTATAGTTCACTAGAGCTTAAGATAATGTGGAGTGAAGATCTACTCTCACCTGGGTTTATGTGACCTTACTTTTAAACATAGAGTGGCAATGTTACATCTTCAACAATATCATTGACATACAATTGATATCATTTGAGTAATTCTAAATGCAAGTAATAATATATAGTGCAATATATTGCAGTATAAAATTACCCCATCTATATAGCCCTGATAATCATTATAACGTGTTTATTTCCATGAAACGCCTTTCATTTATTATACCCAATATTGTTTATTTTCCAACAGTTGATTGGAAATAGGTTTATACTCGACATCACTGGATTTTTCACTATACCGATCCCACTCTTTGTTATCACTGATGTCTGAGGACAGTTCCTTTGCAGGTAGTTCATTAGTTATGGTGTTATTCCGATGGTTAAGAGGAATCACCTTACACATTGGAACATTCACAATGGTTCTTGTCCATTCAATATTTCCAGGAGAACGCAGAGATGGAGTTGGCGTCAGGATGTTTTTATGTTGGTCATATATGGTAGGATGAGTTTGATCTCTTGGAGAGTTACTATAACTATGACACTCAAAGTCTGATGGTGAAGTAGGTGGAACTGGAGGAGGCAGGTCATCAGACAAAGATAAACTACTATCTGATGGCATACATTCAACATTTAGTTTAGTTTGTATTGCATGAGTACCAAGCACTTTACCATTTTGATTATCACTAGATATCAATCGCCTTTTCTTTCGAATATAGCAGCATCTACTGATAAGTATAACTACTAAAGCAAGAACAACAATACTAGCAATAATGCATATTATCATGACATATTCATCATTGAGCAGAGATATAATCACTCCATCGTGATGGAAATCCTCCTCTTTCACTACCGTCTTATTTGTATTAGTAGTTTCAATGAAGTTGTTATCGGAGAAAAGAGGAATTTCAGTGGTATTTGGCACAAGTTCATAAATTTGAGGATTAATAATAAATTCGAAATGTCCACGAGCGGGTTGTACACCAGGTGCATTGAGTGTATAATAAAAAATGTCGGTAACAATGTCTTCAAGATCCAGAGTTAGGATTTTGTAGATGATCTGCTCCTTGACAATATCTTCGTGGGTGAAAAAGTTCACTTCAGCGACTTCTCGTTTTTCTCGAAGCGAGTTTTGACGTTGAAGAACCCCAAATCTAGGCTTAGCATCAACTGAGTATATCGGGTTACTTCCTGTCTTTTCTACTAACTTGGATGCATCTAGCTGTTCTAGGGTCAAGACTGCTTGGCTACCAATGGATATTTCCAAGTCACTTTGGTAAACAAGTGGAATAACAGTAATGTCGATGATTTGGTCTAGGATTTCACTATCTAAACAAAATACAGAAACAGTAAAATAATCTTCTGAAACAGTCATATCCATTTGCGTGTAAAACACAGAATTTATATCAATATCGTGTTGGGTAAAATTATGTGCTGAATTATCTCCAAGAAATATACGTCCAAACATTGGCGGAGAGGTAATGTTGTACCAAATATTATTTCTGTCCCCATTTGTAACAGCACTCAAATGGTTAGGTTGGAAAACCGCTACCGTTGAACCTTGTAGTATTTCTACTCGAGAATTATTCAGTAGCTCTAAAGATAGAGGAATTAGACGGATGTGAAAACTATGGAAAACTGGTTGATGTTTCCCATCAGAAACTTTGAAGCGAAACATCCCAGACCGATTACTTCCATCATGAACGAAGTATGTTAAATTTTTATCTATGTCTGCTTGAGTGAATTTCTCAACAGCAGAGAAGCTGTTTGCTCCTAGAACAACGACACCGTTGCTAGCGTTACTTGTAATTTCATATGTGATATTATTTGGAAGTCCATCTTCATCTTCTGTGTATAATTCTCGCGAAGAAATAAGTGACCGCTGTCCTCGAACAACGTCACATGTAGGGGACTTTGTTAATAGATTGAAAGCGTGGTCGTTTGCAGACGAAACTTTTACATATAAAGTTTTATTGAAAGGTAGTATGTCCGTGAACATATCTTCCACTGAAATAAAAAACCCTAAAGTAAAATTGTCTGATAATGATTCGGAATGATCATGATAATACGTTAACAAGTTCTTGTTAAATATGTCATGATTAAACAATAATCTTTTTCTCTGTGTAATATTCTTATTATCGTAAGCTAGCCAGCCATTTTTTGGCAGCTCTTCTACTGTTAACTTCAGTTTGTTGATAAACTCCTGTTTCCCCTTTTCTTCCCACAATGTTAGCAGAGACTGCAGATTAACATGTTCCTTTCCAATGGAAACATTGCCTCCTTCTTCGACATTTACTGGACTTACTACAACCAGTTTTTGCAGATCACTGACAGTAAATGTTCCAACAGATATTTCTATGTGAAATTCAACATCCTTCAAGGGCGACGCATGTTCAGTTTCGATATCGAAAAGAACAGTGTCATTAACTTTTAAGTCGGCCATAGGCTTAGCGTGTTCATATAAGATCATGTTATTATTCACGTGGTTCTGAGTAAACTGAAATACTTCAGATACTGAACCATTGTGATTTTCTAGAAGAATCTTTCCATACTGAGGGGAGCGACGGACATGATAAACTATCTGTTGAGAGAAGTTTTTGTTGTTGATTACAGTTAAAAGATGACTTTGTGTAATGGATTGTTGCATTCGAGGCAAAACCCTTAGTAGCACATTCACCTTAACTTCTAACTTCAACTCTCTTGCTGTGATAGTAAACACATGAGGGGAGTCTTTGTTGAGACCATCGTTGACTTGGAATCGAAATCCCCCAGCTCTTTCACCTGTAAAAGTAAGAAAAACTGCTTAGCTCTTAGAATCAGTGTAAGGTCTATGTGGGTGACATACAATATTCAAAACTTAAATATATATATACATATTCCATAAGAAATCGTACTAAAATTATTCTGCTAATACGAAGCACTTTCTTCATTACAAAATCGTTAAAAACCATCTTTTACAGTTTGCCATAACAGCTGTTGTTCCTCAACCACTACTATGTCTGTCGTCTCCCAGTCAACATGATGAGCCACGGTATTGTGCGAAAGGGCTCGTTAGCATTGGATATGACAGACATAGTGGTTTGACATGTTATTATGTATATATTCTTCTATGTTTTCACTCATAAGTTCTTAGAAAAAGAAGGCATCAATGACTTCGTGTTAAACCATCACATTAATGTAGTCAGTATTTTTAAGCACTTTAACTAATCTAATACGGATTGTTACTCTATTCTACTTACTGTCTCAAACATGACATATATAAATAAGGTCAGGCTGATGGGTTGAGCGAAATTATTTGTTGAAATTGTAATTGAAATTTTATTATCTTCACGTATGACGTTCTTATTGAGTTAGCTAAGAAAGAAAGGTTTTGAAACAACCTGTAAACGTATTATAATGCTTCATACCATTTACCACTGGTACATATACTGTGTATTTGTGGATTACACATTTTTTTTATTTATGCTTCGTACAAAAAAGCACGATTTTTTAATATAAAAAAACACGTGAGCGTATCGAATTAAAAGTTTTTAAGGAAAGTTGATACATTATTGTTTAAAAATTACAGCTGAAAGGCACTTATGAAACATTCGAAAACAAATAATTCTGAGTGGCACTGCTTACATTTCTTATGATAATTTCCTGATAGATGTTTAAACCGTAGTGTTGACTTCTTTTTCAAACTTCTGTTACTATTTCTCAGTTACATTTATACCATTTCAATTAAAATCTCCACCTTGTAACGTTTACAGCGGTATTAACACTAGAGATATTAGGATTTTCATAGTGTTCATAAAATGACAAAAATGCACAAAGAAAACAAGATTTATCTCGTGTAAGTAAAGAAGTTCTTTCTTTTACCATTATTGAAGGTTTCACGTAAAGTTCCTGAAGTCAAGATGTGCCATAAGGAACCACATTTTTCAGCTGCAAAAATTACGCATAAGCATAAACAGGGGCACTATTTTACTAAAGGGGTGTCTATTTAATGGGTTCTGGGGCGTGTTTTCCTGGAAATCAGTTTAAACTATACAAACTGGCTGGAGGTGTAGAGTTGGTGGCGTTTTGAGACCCTCCCTTTTTTCTCATTACATATGTTTCTCCTTGATTTTCTTTTACTCATTCAGGAAAGGGGGGTTGGCCCCCTATCCCTCCTAGATTAGCCCAGTGAATAATTTTTGAGTCTTGTACAAAGAAAATAAAAAATGCTTAATTGAGAACATCTTCATGTAAGTTATACGGGTGTGAAATAAGAGGAGATATTACTTACAGAATTTAAAACATTGAGAAACATTAAACATAAATAAAACTACATGTATATCAAAATCAGCAGAAAATACAACAATAGAATGGTCATATACAGAAACGAACTGTGCAACTCCTGACAGACATAAGCCATCCAGTTGTTCAACAGTAAGTCTAAAGTCTTATAACGCTAAACACCCGGTTTCGATATCCGTGGTAGGCACAGCATAAAAGCATATTTTGTAGCTTTATGCTTAAACACAAAACAAATAGACCAACAGACAGACATAATATTTGTAAATAACATAACAAATAAAAAAAGAAATGGAACTACGAAAAAAATAATGCTGTTCTACATAATTTCTAACTTAAATATCTTTAGTTTTTAAGCTTTATATCTAAATCCAGCTTTTGATGGTAAAATATGAAATACATAGGCGAATAACCAATAGTATTACCCATAATCTTGACTATCTCGCTAATAATACCTATTGACATTTTTTTACTATGCCTCGTGTAACTTACACGTGTTTCGCTCTTTCAAAGCGCCTTTGTTCAGACATTCAATCACATTATAACATTTGTTTTTTTGCAGCAAACTCTATGGTTAAAGCTGTATTCGTACTTTGCTCTTTCCATCAATAGGGAATATTTTCTAGTACATACATGTTTTGGTCATCCTAGTTGGGTGTGGGTTGTCAAAACATTATCTAGAGTATAATCTGAGTCAATGGTCACACTTTACTAAAGCCTTAGTCATTTAATATAACTTAAAGTACTCCATCACAGTCTGAATTTGGTTATTTTTTATGTTCCTTGAATGGTTCCTCTTCACCGTATAGTCGACCAAGATTACCTTAAGATTATTGACTTGAAAACTTGCAGTGAAAGTTGCAGTTTGGAGAAAGCTCATTATTTCTAAACCTGTAGCTTTCTACCATTTTTCTTAATATTCCTTCGTACAATCAACTTAGATTGTGGTACATCCACGTCCTGAAATGAACTTTGTTACGTTGTGTGATCTTATCTCCAGGGAAAAAAACTCTTCTTGGCCTTTTTCTGGAGAAGCGTTAATGCTCTTTTGTGCATCCAGTGGTAGCTAATATCAGCAGAATCTTATTTTGGTTAGAAGTAATGCTACACAACTAAATATAATTAATGTTGATCCCCAATAAACTTGGAAGGAGTTGTAATACTGGAGAGACTTCAGCTACTCTCCAACAATGAGCTATCAGGCTTCGCCATGTGTAGAAGACAGGAAAATCTAAAAATGGCCGTACCTACTTTTTTGTTCTCTTTTTCAAATCCTTTCCCGGGCTCTCATAATATTTCCAAAGTTTCTGAAGATGAGCAGTAGTGTGTGTGTATTTATCTTCTACTTGTGTTAGTTGTTTCCACCCGAAGTTCCTGAAAGCAAAACCCTGTTTCTGTGATCAACTTGAATGAGCAGTAATGTGAGCATTGAGCATTTTCCTGTGTTGGTTGTATCCCCAGCACCTAGAATCAAATCCTGTTTCTGTGATGTATTTGTCACATATGGCAAAATCTAGGGAACATTAGTTACTGTTATGTGCTGCTATTTAAATAAGAAAAGTGTAATGAAAGAAATAGAAAGTAAAGAAAGTATAGAAATTACGTAAAAATGTTATAATTATATTTAAAACTAATTGCACAAGAATAGTAAATGAATGTCAGAAATTATAACATTATTTTAGAATGATGGTACCAGCATCGTGGCTTCTAAACAAAACTTTATCTCAAACTAACGAACAGGCTATTAGTTACTTTGCTTGTTTTTGAAATACTGAGCTATTCTAAAAGTAAAACTTGCTCCTAGGCAGAATGGGTATGTCTGCTATGTGTTTTTTAAGCGTTCGCAGGAAAAAAAAACACACAAAAAACGAATCCCTGAAAGCTTTCTTTGTTAAAAGCTTTTAAAGGAAAATTCAATACCTTCTCGAACTTGATAGTACGGAAAGACTCCATTCAGAGTATAATGTTTCAGCACAGCAGAAAGTATTACTGACATACTAACAAAAGTATACATGTAGATAAAGCAAAGAGACATTGCCACGACTATGGTAAGAACATATATATTTAAGATTCACCATATGCTGTATATACCTTGATGTATTTTCACATGTAACAAAATTTTAATACGGGATTATTCACAGATGATTGTGTGTGTAGAAGGAGGGGAGAAGAAGTAATCAAAATGAATTTTGTTTACAGTATAATCATCTCCAGTAACAACATTTTAAGGGATAAATTAAGTACTTTTTATTGACTCTTTCTATATTTGCATAATTTAATAAATTGGAGAAAGACGGATGGATCATAAACAACGTCAGTGCTAATTCAACCAACTGCTAGTAAATATCACAGTAATGGTTTACTATTATGATTTCATGTACATATTGTTTTTATCTAGTAGTCCTTGGTAGAGTTGTCTGAATAAAACAATTACGTCAGCTTTTTGTCATCAAACGCTGTTTCAGGAAAAAACTTTTCTAGTTATCTATGACTGCCTCATGAAAGAGAAAAAAATCATTAATTCAGAAACATTGAAGGTTTCTTTTATATGGTTACTCTTTCATTTATTATAAAAAATAGTATAAATTCAGAATGCCTTGAAGATATGTGGGTCAGTGAGTTCATAATGTATCACCGAATAAACACCCAGGGGAAATATTAACCTATTCAACCCCTACAGTGCTATTTTGTAGCAATCGTAGCTGATGACGTATGACAGAACTATTTAGCTTGTGAATTCCAACCACATTTCTCCTATTATGAACGTCAGTTCGCTTGTTTCAAATGTTCTAGAGTAAGACATTTTAATAATTGGAATCACACGAAAAATACAAAAGGTACTAGCTGTGTTCTAGCTTAGGACCACAAGAATTATTTGTGGGGTCATTATTTTTACAGGTCAAATCGATGACGTTATCTGAGAGATCAAGTCCCTTGAGAATTCAGATGACAAAGAAAGAACAAAATCATTAATTATTTCATGTAGCAACACAAATTCTCTATATGAAATCAGTATGATGTATTCAAAGAGTGTTAAGTGCTTAATAATACTAGTTGATGCACTGTGTATACTCACACGTACATCAGTTCACATAAAAAACGAGAAACAAAACATTACAACCCACATTGGATAACATTCATTGAAGTGTATTACTCTTTGCACGTGAATTACAACTGAGATAATTCTGAAATGATATAAAGCAGATAAGAAAAACTTAAAAGTCAAGGCTATAAGTGTATCATGCAACAACAACAAAATAACGAAACGGGAATTTTGTACACTTAAGAATTTAACCGTTCTTTTAGATACATTTTTTGTCAATTTTTAAGTTCACAGGTTGTTTTTTCGTAACTTATTTGTGGTTGAAGTTACAAAATTTACCTGAAAGGTATATGGTGTAAGATGAGTTCATTTTAAGAACATGGAGTGTTTTGGTACCATTGAAGTAAGAAATACCTTACAAAGAAACCACTAACATGACAAAATACTCGTTTAAAACACGTGTATGTTTGATAGATTAGCAAAATACTACTCAGCATATCTTCACAATAACGCATTAGCTGTGTTCTAAACTAATATCATGAAATTATCCGTAAGGTCACTATGTTGTCAAATCAGGACCACTGATATTATCATGGGGGGGGGGGGTCATAATGTTCCAGCTTAAGAACACTATAGAGATCTT